ACACACACACACACACACACACACACACACACACACACACACACACACACACACACACACACACACAGTTAGCATGGCGTCTGCAGACTATTTCCGCAGATTCTAATGAAAACTTACAATTCATCCAGGAAACGAACCCAAAACTAATCAACTTTAGATCAGACCCATTTAAATCTCAGTTCCTTGTTACACTCAKTGGAAAGGATGTGTGCAGAAAAGTCAACGGGCCTTTATGGTTAAATTACTTCTATTAATACACCAGGCTATGTTTAATAGTTCAACAGAAAATGCAACTTTTGACAGCAGGACAGAAAAAAATAACTGTAGATCTTTCAAAGTCTTGTCCAGATAATAACACAAACAGATGTATTAGAAGACACATGAACACAACACAGTGATGACTTCATGTCCACTTTGGTTAATGAAAAGAGTTTACCTGTTTCTCCTCTTTTTTGGCTTGCAGCAGAAAAGAAGGGAGGAAGGAGAGAAAAGGCAAAGAGTAAAAAAGCTTTAGAAGGAGATGTTTTTATTCTTTAACCAACAATCATCTGCAAAACTGAGGCGGTACCAAGTCTTTGCTCAGATTCATCCACACGATGGGTTTCAGTGGTAGCACAGGTGTAAGCATCAGCCTCAGCTCCCAGAACCTCCCTGATAGATGTAGGAATAACCTTTTTTTTTTCCCCCTCTTTTTTTTTCTTTCCAAACTATGGGCACAGGTTGGCACGCCCTGGTGCAGCAGTGCCAAGGGCAATAAACCTTCCTAAAAATACGGTGGAAAGTTTTCCCTTATAAGGGGGAACTTATAAAAACACGGCAGATGGAGAAATGTGGAGGAAAAGATCAAGAAGAGTGTTTTCCACTCTGTCACAGAGGTGTGTGTGTGTGTGTGAATCTGACTTGTTCACACACCCCGAATCGATGAAGTGATCCTTATCTGCTTGATGTTGATTTTAATGTGGCAACAAAGAGTTTCACTGTTAAAAAAACAGCGAAACTTGAGTATCAGTGTAACAGATACTCATTCTTTTAAATTTTAACCTATTCCCAYACACCTACAAACCCTACCAATTTATGGCTTTACAGTAAAATMTGTATGAAATGAAGCAAATAAAAATTATTAATTAATTAATCAATTAATTTAATCTGATCATTAAATAAGAATCTAACAGAAAAGAGTTAATAGATGCTGATGTGGAACACAAAAGGACTGAAACAAACCAGAAGAGACAACCAAGAAGAGAAATAGACAGGAAAAAAAGAGATAGATAAGAGTAAAACAAGCAGTAGAAACTATTTTATATACTTTTTACTTTCTGGTATTTAAATTAAAAAATAGAATTTAGTTCTTGTATAAAAGCTTCATTATTTTATTTTATTTACCATTATTTAACCAGGCAAGTCCCATTGAGATCGCAGGTCTCTTTTTCAAGGGAGGCCTGGGCCTGAAGGCAATCTATTGTACATGTTTTTTTTTGTTTTTTACCACATTCAAATTTGATCTGAATAGAACAAAAACAGTTTCTAAAATGGAAACAGTCATGTTTGCATACTGTATGTGCAAATCACTTTATTCTTTAGGAGCTTTGTCCAAGTGTCATCTCAGACTTTGCATGTGGTTCAGTCGTACAGGTGCCCTTAGATGGCAGGAACAAACTAAACATTTGTGTTGTTAGGACAGGAAGGTTAAAGTTACTGAGTGAAGCACAATTTCTTTATTACAGTACCTGGAGAGCACCTTTCAGATATRCAAATATATTAGAAATCACAAATCTCTGCTTATTTTTTCATCCTAAAAAGACTGAACGTGGAATGGATTCTTTTCAGTTGTCATTGTGTGTAGTTTTGATTAATGCTCTAAATTAGCAGAAAAYATTAATTACAAAGCTTGTTTCACTGACTGGTTATTTGCTGGACTGTCAGCATGTGGTTCAGGCTCTGAAAATGTCTGTTAACGTTCCCTCTTTTCCCCCGTCTATCCGTTTTGCTGACACCTGACCTTTGAATCTGAGCAATCCTCGTAAAGGTGTGTCATATTTTAATATGCTGATAATTATTTCCAAAATTGACCATGTAATGAAGCAGACTAACGCGTAGAGAGTGACTGTTTGGACAGAGGTCTTCAGAAAAATTGGCTTAAAAGTTTGATCAAAACATTTAATTATAGTACAATGAATTCAAAGTTTATGGTAATTCATTACAGTATTATTGGAAATAAATAACATATAAACGAATATCATGYTGTGCCTAAGTGCTAAAGCTAGTTTCTGCCATAGGTGGGTATTAATTACCGGTAGTTAAATTAACTGAAGTAACTTTTTGGGAAAATAAATACATTTAGGAGTGATTTTACAACACTTTACATATATTTACTTGAGTAATATTATTGCGAAGTATTGCTACTCTTACTTGAATCAAATTTCTGAATACTCTACGCATCATTAAGTAACTTCACTGAATGAAGAACAATTTTTTTTAACTAGATGAGACACAGTTTATGGTGAAGTGAGACCTCTTGTTTGTACACAAGCTTTATTGTTCTAATACTAGTTTTTWTCTGCTAAGCCTGCTAGGACATTTGGAAGTCAACTGAATATATGGTAAAGCYATAGTCACTGTAAATACTTCTGAAATTTATTATTTATTTGTATTAATTTTCTTAACTTTAGTCTTTAAAAATGCCAGRATTTGCACATAACTTCCTATATTTTTCAATCTGATGACAGAATTTTGAAACATTAAATCAAATGTTATTATTAGTTACTCAGAACTCAAGTAGCATTTTTACGAAATTTCCTGGATTGCTAATTTTGTCGAAGTAGTGCTACCATTACTCGAGTACAACTTTTGGGGTACTTCACCCACTTCTGGGTTGCTGCTACTCGTGCTTTCAGATAACCAGGTAATGCAAAATAAACAGTGATGCAAAGTTTTGACAAATAGTGGCAAAAGTAGTGGCTCAGACCAGCCATTAGCTCATCTGTGATTCAAATGACACTAATTCTACAAACGGAAATCGTTAAAAATTCTATCTAAAACAGRTAAGATATTTKTTGCTCATAACGTTTCCATAGATCTGAACTACTACATTAAGGACTGACCTCAAAATCCCCTCTGGAGTTAGAGGTCAGTAGAGCTGAAGCTATACAGGGGCAGAGGAGAGGATAAAAGAAAAAGAAAAAGTAAAAGTGGAGGTAAGGAAATGTTGGGYCTGTTCAGAGAGAACCCAGCACTGAAAGAACACTGTGTTTCTCTGTTATCAGGGTGTTTGGGGAGGCAGTTTTGTTCTTAATAAATGGAGAAGTGAAACAAAGATAAGGCTTCTCCGCTCCTCCAGCTTATCACACCAAGCATTACTTTCACTTGTTTCAAAACTGCGACWGCTTGGGTAATAATTTATTCAGCAGAAGCCTCTTCAGGAACACACAGCTTCGTGTGACACATCTGTATCTGTCGTATTACAGTAAAGCAAAACTTCCTACCATGACACCGGTGAAGAGACACACGGCTCTGCCACAGCTAGTGTTGGGTGCCACGTCCCCATAGCCCACCGTGAGGAAGGTGATGGCTGTGAGCCACAGGGCCGTGTCCATGTGGCCCGTCAGTGCTTGGCTTCGCCTGCAGGGGGGCGAGAACACGTGGAGGGTCAGGAAAACCTGTTGCAAACTGTACAGGTCTTACACCCTGCTCGTCGTGACCCACTGTCCTGCGTGTTTTAGTGGGGACAAGAAAACATGCAGGATAGTGGATCACGAGGAACAGGGTTGAAGAATGGGTTCCACAGCAGTTTTTGAGCCGTAAATTAAAAATTTAAGAATTGAATTCCCTTATCTGGAACACTTATATGATTCCTATTTTATTTTTTGTCTTCTTTGCTCTGCAGAGGTTACCACAGCAAGCCAACTCACATAAAATACTTGGCAACTGTTTTATGCCCTTTATGACGCAACCTGGGCTCAAACCTGCAACCTCAGGWTTACAGGACTGCAGCACTGACCACTATGTTTAGTAATACTTAAATAAATTCAGTAAACRCTATTCATTGTTGTCACATTGAGGTCACAGATCTCTTTCAAAAAGGAGGCCTTAATGAGAACTCCCACAAACACGAGGAGACACAGACTGTGTGCATGTGGTTCACAGACTGGTTAACTTCAGCCTCGCTCACATTAAATGTGAATAAAACAAAYGCATTGTACTTCACTAAAGAAAAAAACCACTTAACTCTGCTCCACCTATCTATAYTGATCAAAAACAAATCAAAGTAGTAGAGGAATTTAAATATCTAGGACTTGTTTTGGACTCAATTTTTACTTTTAAAAGTCATATTAAAAAACTTTTTAATATTTTAAAATATAATTTGTCAGTTTTTRGGCATATTCAAAATACACTAACTCATGGAGCGGCAAAAACCTTCCTGGAGGSAATGATAATTTCTCACATTAATTACTGCATTTCTTGTTGGTCACAAGCAAATGAATCAACAACAAAACCTCTAAGGTCTTTATATAACCAAGCAGTAAAAGTGTTAGATAAAAAGCCTTTGAAATACCATCATTGTCATGTACTACAAAAACATAAAATGTTAAACTTCAATAATTTAATTGTGTATTCCAATGTGCGGCTCATTTTTAAAATTGTAAATAACACTGCTCCTCCACCACTAAAACATTTTGTCCAACTCCGCTCTGAACTTACAACTAGGAACAGCAGGTCAGTGAATAGTAAGGATTGTAGAAAACCTAAATGTAGCTCAGTATTTGCACAGACAGCCTTTTCATTTAAACACATCACAGAATGGAATAAGCTTCCAGTAAATCTTAAACTTTCTACTGACCTGAAGGATTTTACTTATAACATTAAGAAAGTGCTCTTTGAAAACCAGCAATGTCTGCACTGAAATGTCTTAATTGTAATCCTTGTATTAGTGATTAATGAACAGACGTTTAGCATGTAGAGCTGTTTTTGCTGAKGTATTTTATGATTGTGTATAGAGATTGTAATTAGAATTGATTGCTATTGTCTTTATGACTTTATGCAGTAATTGTGTCTACAAATTTTATGGATTATTGTTCTACGCCTTGATTTTAGATTGTATTTTGTTGTTCAGGGACTACAGATGGAAATCAGCGTAAGCTAAATCTGGTGCAAAGCATCTGTTAATGTTTTATTTGCACATTGTCTCTGTTTTAAATAAAGGAATTCTAAAAAAAAAAAGAAAAAAAAAACATGCAAACTCTGCACAGAAAGGCCCCAGGTCCAAACCAGGAAATGAAACCAGAGCCCTCTTGCTGTGATGTCAGATTGCTAACCACTAATCCACTGTGCAGCCCAAACGTATTGTTTTGCAGAAGGTGTTCAAAGACATTCATGTAAGTTACAATAAGTAACTTCTATCAGCTTTATTAAGACAGAGCAATRAATTATTGGTTTGATTGCAAATCATTGTGTCTTTTTCATTATTGCAAGCATCTCATTAATCTTGATGTGGTTTCCCCTGTCTTGCAAAATCCTCAGAGCCACACAATTAAAACCTAGAAAGAGTATTTTGAAAGTATGACATTGTATCCAAAGGAAACTTGGACTGAATAACTATTTGACAGTTGGACATGTGCAGTAACACCCATGACTCTGAAAGAAAGAAGTTGGTACAGATGCATGGATTCTGTTTGAGTTGTGCAGAGATTAAAAAATAAACTATTTGAATGCAGAGCTACATTAAAAATGTTCTAACGCTACAGAAACTTTTTTTTGTCAACATTTCTTCCTACAGCTCAGAGGAAGTCATGACTGCGTTTATGTCGACATCACTTTAAGTCTTACGTGTCTAATAAAAGGTGCGGTTGACAAATCAGACTCTGTTATCAGATCTGAAAGGGTTAGCCAGGAAACAGATTCATGTAAACATGTGAAACAAGAAGGTTTGGTGTTCACTCAGAGGAACCAAATGAATAAGTTATGCAGATYGATAAGCTTTAAGGGATTGCTGCAGACTGTTGTGTTTGGTAATAAAATATTAAGAAGAACAAAGTGTGAAACAGTTATGTTGTGGTTTTACTTGTACATCTTGTGCTCTTTCATTAATTGTGAAAAATTAAATTGCATAAAACTATGTTGGGCAAAACCTTTAAACTTTAAATGTGCAAATTAGATTAGATCCGATAGAAATTTATTGATCTCTTGGGAGGATTGCTTCGGGGAAAGACCTCAAATAAACATTTCAATTAAATGGTAGCATAATGCTAACACTGAAACACAGTTAGAGCAACTGGAATTCAGCATGAAGTAAAATCCTGTTGAGGCTTGAGAAAACACTTTAATTTACTTGGCCTCGGGAATGTTACACATTTACGCAATTAATAAGTGATTTTGTGAATTGTTGATTTTAATAGGAAACCAAAAACATGAAAGTTTAAATCCTAATAAATCTGGTAATGTTGAGCTACTACGTAACATGTGATTTAACATAAAACCCACAGCAAACAATAAAAAGAACTACTCAAAGAGTTATTGTATAGAGATGGGATAAATGGCTCTTTGAAAGGATCCGGATCTTCATCCATTTGTTTCATAGAGCCATTAAAAAGAGCTTGTCACTTTATGTAATAATATGTGATAGTATGTGATAATGTAATAAAATTAGGCTTCAAAATGTAATAAAAGCGCACTAAAACCACATTATGTAATAACTGATGCAAAATGTAATAAAAGTCTTCAATGCATTTTGAAGTACTCACAACTGCATTATGTAATAATATTACTACATTTTGCGGTGATTGTTACAAAATTTTGAAATGATAATGTAATAATGTAATMAACGATCACAAGCCAGTGTTTTTGTTCATCCTAATCAATACACTTGTAGTAATGATCATGTTGCAAAAACAGCACATTTAAATCTTTGAAACTTTGGTCAATAAATGCCAAACTTTTTATTATTTAGTCACCTATTCACAGCCAGATTCCTTTGTATTAACCRACACAATGCCACAGGAGCGCTGTGAGCATGGCGCAGAAAAACAGCGCATCTGTCTCACCCGAGGCCGAACGTGCACAATGTGACGCATGAACACACACACAGTCTGAAAAATAAATAAATAAATAAATAAATAAATCAACAAACATTAATTTAGTGGCTGCAATTTGCAACCATTAATGCCTCCTTATTCCTTTGCAGAAGGAGTAAGAGAGGAAAGAGAAAGGCACAACGCTCCACTGCTACGGCGTTTAAAAAAAAAAATTAAAAGGGCAGAAAAATTGATTTGATTTATGCAGAATGTAAGAAACTGTGTCAAAGAAACAAAAATGCAGCAAAACAAAGACTAGGACGTGTGTGGGATCAGTGAAAGTCATTTTTARTTTGTTTCATGAAGATGAACAGAACGTGAAGCGACGCAGATTAACATGATTCATGCAGAAAGCCACAGCTTACTGTCTGTCTGTGGACACAATCTGCTCAAACTCAGAGGACTAACGAACTGATCCGTCAGCAGGTGGCTCACAAAACCTGTAGTACGTTTTAGWGTGCAGGTACGTCTCTCAAAGCGTGAGCTGCAGCCTCACCTACAATTTACGCTTTAATAAAGCTGACTGGAAATAGTATGTAAAGTTGAACAATTTCTATAACAGGGATCAGGACAGTAAAACTGGTAACTAAATGATGGAAAGTTTGGCATTTATTGACCAAAGTTTCAAAGATTTATATGTGTAGTATCTGCAACATGATCATTACTACACGTGTATTAATTAGAATGAACACTGCTTTATGATTGTTTATTACATAATGCACCACATTATAACATTATCATTTCTAAAAAGAGCAACAATCACATTTTGTAACAATCGCCACAAAATGTAATCATGTTATTACATAATGCAACATTACAGGGGGTGGTGGCAGCTCAGTGGTCAATACCAGGCCTCAGGTTCTAAGCCAGGTTGTGTGAGAAAGGCCATCAAGTGTAAAACAGTTCCCACATCTTTCATGTGACATCTCCCTCTGTGGCAAATCATGAACAACATTAACAGCATTCATGTATAACATATGAAACTTTTTGTACTTCAGCCTGGAACTATTTTCTGTGAGTGTTTAGGCAGGTTTTAGTATAAAGCTAACCTAACTGTTTGTTAGCTTTGCGTAAGCTTTTTATTCTCTTGTGTAGTTTTTATTCTGTTCGCATAAAACTGTTATTAAACAACTCTGCAAAATTTCACAATATTTCATAAGAAAATAAAAATCATATTGGTCCGATCAGTTTATACCTCTCACACAGCGTCAGCATCCAGGACACAGTAAGCCAGAAGAGGAGGATGAAGACCAGGAGCGTGCGTGCCGGGTGTTTGTTCATCAGCACCTTCAGAACGAAGCGAAAGGTGAAGTTGATGTTGTTAAGCGAGCCGATGCTCCTGTAGGAGGCGCTCAGCAGCACTTTGCTGTGCAGCAAAACGGCTCTGTGGACCAAGTACAGGCGGAGGAACATCAGCACTGACAACAGCATGTCCATGTCCAACAGGGCCTTGGTGTCGTGATGACTCGAAACACAGACGGGAGCAGCGGAGGACGAGTTGACATGAAGGCCTACGTCCCAGTATGACCCCACTGGGTGTATGATGCAGACTGACAGCTCCAGAATGATCACCAGAATCCTGTGGCTTGTCATAGCAATGCGCCAGTCCACCTGGTTGTGATCAATGATGAACAACTAAAATGTAGAGGAAGACAGTAAAAGAGAGAGAGAGAGAAAGAAAAAYGATAAAGACGTTTTTAGAGATGAAACCAGTGAAAACAGGGGCGAACTTAGAGGGGGCCACCCCAGTCACCCCAAATTTAGATAAAAAGTACTGATGGGAATTACAATTCTTTGCTAGGATCAAGATAATTTTGTTTTAATTCATCAAAAAACACTGTAGTTTCTTTCTGATTTTAAATAGTACTGAGGAAAACGTTGTTTGAGATTCGGTTTATTCCGGTCAGATGAACCAACAGATAAATAAGAAGCAAGTATTCAGTATTCAAATATTTTAATGTATGCTGATGATACTGTTCTTTTTTTGTCTGATTTCAATATTGAATCTATTAATAGTCAGTTACAAGCAGATCTTCAGACATTTCATGGTTGGCTTCAAGATAATCTTTTGTCAATTAATGTTAAAAAAAACTGTGTTCATCTATTTTTCCTCTCCCAGGAGACATTTCAATATAACAAATCAACTCACTTTTTTAAACAAACCCCTTGAAATTGTCACTACCTACAAATATCTTGGAATTACTTTGGATTCTCATTTGACTTATCGTGATCATGTACAAGTCTTAACCACTAAGTTGAAACAGAAATTATGTTTATTCAAAATTTAGATCCAATCTGACATCTTCTGTTTCAAATATCTATCTTCATGCCATTATACTCTCAACCATGTCGTACTGTTTACCTGTTTGGTCTCTTACAACAAATGAAATCTTAGAACCCAWAGTTAGGCTCTACAACAGGGCCTACAAAATTCATAAAAAA